ATGTATACTGACAGCTGCAGGTCACCCTGAAGTGTTCCTGCCAGCAAGATCCCACCAGCACCCTGGCCGCAAATAGCTTCGGGGTGCCAGCTCTACCCAAACATCCCCAACTGTCCCGCCTCGTCCGACCCCTATACCGCTGCCGCCAGTTTCCAAAGAACCCCGAGAATCCAATGACGACATCCGCCACCGTGCCTCCAGCCCCAAGACCTACAGCTGCGTTGCTGCAGCCAGATTTGGATTCCCGAAACGGTGCGGTGACAGATCGTGCGGGCGGTGACCTCGAAATCCCCCAAGACCTCACCGCACGGTCAGTCACCGCACAGTCTTGGGACCGCGGCGGCCCCCTCGCCCGAGACGTCTTCGGAGAACGACCCGAGTCCCAAAATCGTGCGGTGACCCTGAATCCCCACCGACTCACCGCACGGTGTGGTCACCACCCCGTTTGGGGGCCCTCGAAAAATTTTAGTTTCTCACAGGCCCAGAACTTCGGAGTTCCTGGCCGTCCCGGTGTCTTCCGGGGTGAGCCCCGTGACTCTGGCCGGGTGTCTTCTGGCAGTCCTCTGCGCCCGGTGCCCGGTTACAACAACCCCCCGAACCCTCCGATGTGTCCACGAGGGCTCAGATTCGCCGAGAGGTCGCTCCAAGCTGCCCAAGACCCGCCGTCGCTCGGACGTCCATTCCCCGTGCATGTTTGGGTTTCGCGCATGAGTGTTGTGGCCCTATGGTCAAGGATGCTCCTCGAAGGTGCTCGCCGAGAAAAAATGCACACGTCCAAGCGATGTCAGGAAGATGGCCTCCAGACGGTCCTCGAGGCCCCAAAGACGCCCCAAGAGACCTCTCAGAGCACTCCCAAGAGGACCCCGGGAGGCAAACACACATGTTTTGCGGTCTCGCCGTTGCGGGTTCCCGACGCTCCAAGACGACGCAGAGAGGCCCCCCAAAGTCGCCCCCAGACGGCTCAAGAGGCCCCCAAGATGGTGCCGAGACGGCCCAAGAGGCCCCCAAGACGGCCCAAGATGCTTCCTAGACGGCCCTAGAAGGCCCCAAGAACGCCCCAAGCGGGATCCCAGAGCACGAACCGACATTTCCAGCTCTTCGCCCCAAGAGGCCCCCACGGAGGCCCAAGAGGCCCCCAAGAGGTTCCACGAGTCCCCAAGGGCCCCCCAGGAGGCCCAAGAGGCCCCGAAGAAGCTCCCAAGAGGCACCCAAGAGGCGTCAAAACTGCCCCCCAGAAGCCACCTAGAGCCCTCCAAAGAGACCCCAAGAAGCATCCATGAGGGCTTTGACACACAACCCAGGCACGGTGGCGGGATGGGCCGACTGCCACTTGATGTTGAACAAACATCACTATACGAAAGACAAAACTAACAGAGAACCCCAGTAAGGAGGCGTGACTCACGCCGTCCAGGCGTCACGGCGCTACGCCGCCGACACGCACACACACACACACACACCTAGAACATACATAGATATAGGCATGTAAAGGAGATCAGACACTAGGAACGTGCAACACTCAGATTCAGCGAGCACCAAAACTACGAACAGTACAAATGGTATACGTCAAGAAAGCGCATCAGTAATAGACACCATCAACGGATACCAATGACACGCATCACGAACAAGCACCATTACAATTCCCCAATCAAAGGTTGCACTGAAGCGGTCCTAGCGGAGATTGAGAAATTTGGCGAAAATGCCAGGCCGATTTCGGTAGACGGCCGGGATCCCGGGTTCCCGGTTCCGGGTTCCCGGGTTCCCGGCTGCTGCGTCCGGACTGATGTCGGTATACCGCGGGGTTCCCGGGTTTCTGGGTTCCCGGGTTCTTGGTTGATCTCCTGATCGATTGGTCTCACCATCGATCTCAATACCCACCTCTCTATTGATCTCATTATCGATCACACTATAGATCGCTCGAGCGGTCTCACGATCTATCTCACTATCGATCTCATTGAACCTACTTCGCGATCGGTCTCACGATCGACCTTACTATCGTCCTTAGTATCGATCACACAACCGGTCTCACAATCGATCTCACAATCGATCTCAATATCCATGCCACATTTGTTCGATCAATCCTCTGATTTGGGCTTTTCCCTGGCAGCGAGAATTCCGCAAGCCGAAAGAGTTTCTTCTTGATCTCGAGAGGCCACGCAGTTGCCCGCGGTGAATGTCGAGCTTATTCGTGTTATGGGGAACTTGGCTGCGGTTGGGTCCAGCGCGACACTCGAACTACCCAATGTCAAGGGGGGTGTTATGGGCGTGGCTATGTAGACTTTGATTCCTTCCATCGTTTTGAAAGTGTTGTGGAAGTGGGCGAGAGCCCGCAGCGACGCTCGCGCTCGTGCTGATGATGGTAATGATAATGGTGACGATGTATACATAATGAAGATGATGTTGGTGGTGGCCATGATGGGTATGAGGATGAAGAAGATGATGGCGATAACAATGATGATGATGATGGCCACGGGGAAACCTTCGTCCCTGTTTACTCATAGTGTGATGTGTCTCATGCGGTGCCCCGTGGATCCCATTCCCCCTGGGCCCTGACGCCTGGAAAATGACGGATCCACTGGTTATGTTCTCACTGGAAATTGGACACGCCGATCGCACGAATAGGATCCACGAGACTTTGGCACGCCGGAAAATGATCAATTGGCAACCATTGGTTTGTACTCGTCTGTACGAAACTCTTTCGGCTTGGGATTGTCGTGTTAGCAAGTGCGGACCTCAAACTGATATTTAATGCGATGTGGCTGTGTACGCTCTGTAGCGCAATCAATGTGAAACAAGCTACGTGGTGCAGCTGATTTTTACAAACGGACTGACACACCCCATGCTCTTGCAAACATCCCACCCACCCACCCGCAACTTGGTTTGCAAAACCTAAGCGGCGGCGATTGCGATGAGTGCTTGGCGTTGGCTGCTGCATTTCTGCGGCTGCGACAGCCCGCGCATGCACGCGCACGCAGCGGCCAGCCCATTTGGCGCGACCGACGCGCCCGCGGTGGCGCTGACCGCTGGACACATCCCACCGAGCACTTCAGAGTGAGTCGGCGAGTTGGGCGGGCGCGGTATCATGGCAACGTCGACTCTGGTAGATACGATGATGACAGCGACGATGTTGACAACGACGATGGCACGGCTGGTGACGGCGCCGATGCTGATCACGCCGACGGCGATGACGGCGTCCCCGCGTCGGTGATGAAGGTTTTGGAAGGAGTTCGACATGCGCGTGCGGCCGACGCGCGAGATGGGCTGCTTGGTATTATTTGACACGGATCGTGCCCCCCCGGCACGTGCGCAGGGGCGTTCGAATGATTTAGGCATCTGGCACGAGAGGCCCGTTTGGTAGCATGTAATGAAAATGTTGGAAATTGCATTGTTTTCTGACCATTTCGCAAGAGCGCGCGCGCGCAATGTGTATTTTCTCTTAGAAGCCATGTGTTTTCATTTGTGTTGGACACTCGATGTTGAATTCCTTACGAAACCTAGAGCTCGCGCGACGACGCGAGCGTGTGCACGCCGCTCCATGTGTTGTGATGCTTCTTATAAATGAGTGCACGCGCATAGTTCTGTAGAGTTGATGGGGGTGATGGGGCAGAATCGTCTATAAGTTGCAGTGCAATGCGACACGGTGATGCGAAAAGTCTGGTGGGAGGTGGGTGGATCCAAGTTCTCTTTGGAAAAAAGAATATACGTGGCGCGCGCTACAGAAGGCAACGAAGCGACAACGGGCGGCAACGTCGCAAAATCTCGCCAGACCAACCTAACGCACTAGGCGGCAACGAGGTGGCAACGGGTGGCAGCGGGGCGAAATCTCGCTCGCCGGACTCACCCAGCGCACGAGGCGGCAACGAGGCGGCAACGTGGCGAAACCTCGCCAGCCACATCCAGCGCACGAGGCGGCGACGAGGCGGCGACAAGGCGGCAACGGGTGGCAACGTGGCGAAACCTCGCCGGACTCACCCAGCGCACGAGGCGGCAACGAGGCGGCAACAGGCGGCAACGTGTCAAAACCTCGCCCGACCCACCCGGCGCACGAGGTGGCAACGAGGCGGATAAAAGGGATTCCGCGCTCCAGAGCCAGCTCCTGACAGCAAAGGGACTTGCTTAGATCATCCTCCTTACCCCCTCCGAGGGGGTATGGATCCCCCTGGCCGCGGTGACTTTGAAGTGTCCGCTTTGGTCTAGATGGCTACACCATTGCACCAGATAGCCCAAGATGGTCCCGAGAAGTCGCAAGGCGGCCCAGGTTGACTCCGTGGACCCAAGAAGACCTCAATATAGATTCGAGGTGGCCCGTGAGCCGTCGGGCAGGAGGTGAACGTAGAGGGGACTAGGGAAACAGAACGCACAGTGGCAATCCAAACGATCACCGTCGGGGCACTGGGAACTGCAAGCACTCGCCGCCGGGCACGCGGGGAGCGCCACACGAGCCAGGCATGGGCGAACGCGTGCATCGAGCCTCGGCTTGGGAGGCACGGCGGGACCGTGTTGCGCGCGTGATCCGCAAGAAAGGAATGAGACAAGGCAAGGCCGACCCTTTGCGGGGCGTGGATGGCCTCCAGGGCAGCCCCACTGGGGCCCAGAGGCCCCCGAAAAGAGGCCCGCAAGGGCCTCGGAGACCCCAGGGCGTTGCCCCCCAAAGTGGCCCCAAGAGTGGGGCCTCGGACCAAAAGCTCCCCCGGGGCCCCGAGGCGTTGCCTTCGAGGGGCTGGTTGCACCAACTCCGCCCCTCCGTTGGTCTGACGGGTGCCCCCCGCTCTGTTTCACGAATGCTTCTGCGCCTCCTCTCTCTCGCCTGTCACTCAGATTCGACAGCCGCACGCTCGAGAGCAAGGTCACCGCGGCGCTCTGGAAGAAAAATCACCATGGGACCCTCGGGCCTGAAGGGTGTCGAAGAGAATCTGGTATGCGAGAGGAGAGGGGGACGGGAGGAGGAGCATGAGGAGAGGTGTGGAGAGAACGGGAAGGGGGAAGCAAGAGAGAAGCGGGTCCTCGTCCCTCGAAGACGCCTCATCTCTGGCTGCCCACAGGCACAGCAGCAAGTTGGTGTCCACATCCACCGCCTGAGCGCGGCCCCGTCGCCTCTATCAGGCTCCACCTTCTGTCGGGGAAGGGAGCAGCGGCAGCAGGTCCGTGTCCACGTCTACGTAACTCTACGGAGTGTTTTTCTTTCGGGGGGGGGAGCGTCAGCGGAGCAGGTCGAGCTGCCGCGAGCAGGAGTGTAACTCCAAGAACCTAGCCGCACTGCGCGGTGGGGAGAAATCCTGTGACGCAGCAGCAGCGGCGGGAGCACTTTCCTGGCTCGGGAAATTTTCGCGGCTAGGCAGGGAAGGGAAATGACACCATGGAAAAATGGAGATCGTGCGCACGACAATCAAGCCAGTGACAACTACGCCTCCGAAGACTAATGCAGTGAACTGCCCTTCTCTTCCCGCGGAGGAGGGGAGAGATCACCCTACAGGGCGTGGGGAGATACTGGTCGAAGGCTGCCCAAGAAGCATGCAGCATCAGTCACGCGCGTAGACTGTTTTGCACACCGTCGACTCCAAGGAAGCGAAGGAGGAGGAGGAGGAGGAGGAGGAGGATAGCAATCAGCCTGGCGAAAGACCCAACCATATGCAGCTGCGACTCACGCAGTGAATGACTCCCCCTCGTAGGTGGCGCGCCGCGGGAAGGATGGGGCACAAAACATGCTGATGAGGGCTGCGAAACGTGTGAGAGGTGTGCCGCAATTGGCTGGGGGACGTGCGCGGACCCTGCCACAGGAGCCTTCGGCGCTCCCTATGGGGCCACGACACGTGTCAGGTGTGTGCCGAAATGGGCTGGGGGGCGCAAGCGAACCCTGCCACAGGAGATTTCAGCGGAGCCCCCGTGGGGCCACAAAGAGTGTGAGGTGTTTGCCGAAATATTTGCTGGAGGGGGCGCATGCGAACGCTCCAGAGCCTTCGGTGGAGCTCAATATGGAGACACGAGCCGTGTCAGGGGTGTGCCAAAAACAACTGGGAGACGCACGCGAACGCTGCCACAAGAGCCTTCGGTGGAGCTCCCCATGGAGCCACGAATCGTGTGAGGGGTGTGAAGACACTTGCTGCGAAGATGCACGCGAACGCTGCCGCTGGAGCCTTCGGTGGAACTTCGCATGGCCACGAAACGTGTGATGGGTGCGCCAGATCGGGTGCGGGTACGCCATGCGGACCCTGCCGCTGGGGCCTTCAGGGGAGGTTCCTATGAGGCGAAAAAACGTGCGAAGGGTGTGCGGACACTGCCGTTAGGACCTCCGAAGGAACTCCGTCTGGGGCCACGAAACGTGTGAGTGGAATGCAGAATTGCGCCACGCGGACGCTGCCGCTGGAGCCTTCGGTGGAAGAGTGAGGGGTGTGCCGAACAGGGTGCGGGTATGCCATGCGGACCCTGCCGTCAGGGCCTTCGGTGGGTGGAACTCCCCATGGGGCCAAGAACCGTGTGGGTGGTGCACCAGATCGGGCACGGGTACGCCATGCGGACCCTGCGGTCAGGGCCTTCAGTGGACCTCACCGTAGGGCCTCGAAAAGTGTGAAGAGTGTGCCGAAGTGGGTGTGGGAAAGCCGTGTGGACCCTGCCGCTGGGGCCTTCGGTGGAGCTTCCTATGGGAACACGAGACGTGTGAGGTATGCGCCAGATCGGGTGCGGGAGTGCCACGCGGACCCTGCCGCTAGGGCATTTGGTGGAGCTCCCTGGGTCCACGAAGCGCGCGTGTGAGGAGTGTGCCGACTTGGGTGCGGGTAAGCCATGCGGAACCCTGCCGCTGGGTCCCTCGGTGGAGCTCCGTATGGGGCCACGAAACGTCCAAGGGGTGTGCCGAATTGGGTGTGGGCACGCCATGAGGAGCCTGCTGTTGGGGCCTTCGGTGACGCCCCCTGGGGCTACGAAACGTGTGAGGGGTGTGCCGAATGGGGTGCGGGTGCGCCATGCGGACCCTGCCGCTGGGGCCTTCGGTGAACCTCCCTGTGGGGCCACGAAACGGGTAGGGGTGTGCCGAATTGGGTGTCGGTGCGCCGTGTGGACCCTGCGGTTACGGCCTTCGGTGGAGCTCACCACCGGGCCACGAAAGGTGTGAGAAGTGTGCCGACTGGGGTGCGGGTACGCCAGGTGGACCCTGCCGTTGGAGCCTGAGGTGGAGCTCCCTATGGGGCCACCCGATGTGTGAAAGGTGTGCCGATGCGGACGTACGCAGGGCAGAGGCACGGATGGGAGGATGGAGGAGGGGCAGCGGGAGGAGGAAGAGGTGGGACGCGGGACGCTGTCTATTCAAAGCGAGGACCTAACACCACAGGATCGTTGGGATAAAAACGAACGCCCCAGCACGATGATCCACATGGGGTGGAAACTCTGAAACCCACCGCGGGTTGTAATCACCGGACAGCTCGCCCCTTGGCCCCCCGCCAGCCCCACGCCAAGGGGCGAGCATATATACGGGCGCAGCACCTCGCTGGAGGCGTAGCCGTCGGCTGGGCCGACCATGCAGATGATGCATCGCGTGGCGGCTGGATGCCCGCGCCGAGCACAGAGCTCTTCTCGGTTCCTCCGTCCTCTTCCTCCTCCTCCTCCTCTTCCACCTCCTCCTCCTCCTCCTACGACTCCTCCACTTCCACCTCCTCCTCCCTTCTGCCGCCTCCTCATCCCGTCCGCGTCCTCCGCCCTCGAGCTGATCTCCCCCCCCCGTCGTCCATTTTCAATGAAATCCTCCTCCCGCCGCCTCTTGCCTTGTCCTCCGCCTCCTTCCTCCTCGTCGGCCTCCTCGTCCAGCGCCTTCCTCTTCCCCTTGCCACTCTCCTTGCGAGCACCCTTTCCACGATCTCCGTGCCCTCCTTCCACCCCTCCTCCTCCCTCGTCCTCCTTCCATCGCCTCATCCCCGCCGTCATAATCCTCATCGTCATCATCCTCATCCTCATCCTCATCCTCATCCTCATCCTCATCATCATCATCATCATCGTCCTCCTCAGCATCAGCACCATGATCATCATGATCATCATCATCATCATCATCATCATCATCATCATCATCATCATCATCATCATCATCATCATCATGCTCCTCCTCCTCCTCCTCCTGCTCCTGCCCCCTCCTCTTCGTCGTGGGTGCCATCTCTGCTCAAACTGCACAAGCCGCCCCCGTGCGAGAGCCCTTCCGCACTCTCCCGGTAGAAATTATGGTAGAAATGGCACCGGCCGTCGCCGCCACGATGATTGCGCAGCGTTTCCACCCTAGAAAGTGCTCACAGTTCCGCAGTGAAGTCAGGCAGTGACAATTGCTCAGCTGCTGTTTCGGCCAAGCCGCCGATCGTGTCCAGCACAGCTGCTTCGGGAGACCCCCGTTTCAGCAACAGCTCTGCAAGGACCGACTGAAAATGTCGAAGCGCATTGGCTTCGAGCGGTGGCCATTTCGCAGCTTCGTATTCTTTCCGTGCCAACAAAGACCGGCTCTGGTTGATCTTGGCCAACCGGTCGAAATTCAAGCCACGTTCCAAAGCAAGACCAGTCAAGGCAGGCACCCGAGACAAGACGGTAAACGTACCGCCCAGATGCATTTCCGTGTCGCCCAAGTTTGCAGCAACACAAGGAATTGTCATGCCCTGGGACTTGTGCATCGTGGCTTAAAACTGCCACCCGAAATATCCTCACCCGCTGGCTTAAAACTGCCACCGAAATATCCTCACCCGAGATAAAACTGCCACTATCCTCACCCGCTGGCTTAAAACTGCCACCCGAGATATCCTCACCCGCTGGCTTAAAACTGCCACCGAAATATCCTCACCCGCTGGCTTAAAACTGCCACCCGAAATATCCTCACCCGCTGGCTTAAAACTGCCACCCGAAATATCCTCACCCGCTGGCTTAAAACTGCCACCGAAATATCCTCACCCGATATCCTCACCCGCTGGCTTAAAACTGCCACCGAAATATCCTCACCCGCTGGCTTAAAACTGCCACCGAAATATCCTCACCCGCTGGCTTAAAACTGCCACCCGAAATATCCTCACCCGCTGGCTTAAAACTGCCACCCGAGATATCCTCACCCGCTGGCTTAAAACTGCCACCCGAAATATCCTCACCCGCTGGCTTAAAACTGCCACGCGAGATATCCTCACCCGCTGGCGTAAAACTGCCACGCGAAATATCCTCACCCGCTGGCGTAAAACTGCCACCGAAATATCCTCACCCGAGATATGCTCACCCGCTGGCTTAAAACTGCCACCGAAACATCCTCACCCGCTGGCGCTTAAAACTGCCACCCGAAATATCCTCTCACCCGCTGGCTTAAAACTGCCACGCGAAATATCCTCACCCGCTGGCTCAAAACTGCCACCCTAAATATCCTCACCCGTTGGCTTAAAACTGCCACCAAAATATCCTCACCCGAGATATCCTCACCCGCTGGCTTAAAACTTCCACCGAAATATCCTCACCCGCTGGCTTAAAACTGCCACCCGAGATATCCTCACCCGCTGGCTTAAAACTGCCACCCGAGATATCCTCACCCGCTGGCTTAAAACTGCCACCCGAAATATCCTCACCGCTGGCTTAAAACTGCCAGCCTCACCCGCTGCTGGCTTAAAACTGCCACGCGAGATATCCTCACCCGCTGGCGTAAAACTGCCACCCGAAATATCCTCACCCGCTGGCGTAAAACTGCCACCGAAATACCCGAGATATCCTCACCCGCTGGCTTAAAACTGCCACCGAAACATCCTCACCCGCTGGCGCTTAAAACTGCCACCGAAATATCCTCACCCGCTGGCTTAAAACTGCCACCGAAATATGCTCACCAGCTGGCTTAAAACTGCCACCCGAAATATCCTCACCCGCTGGCTTAAAACTGCCACCCACATATTCTCACCCGCTGGCTTAAAACTGCCACCCGAGATATCCTCACCCGCTGGCTTAAAACTGCCACCCGAGATATCCTCACCCGCTGGCTTAAACCTGCCACCCGAGATATCCTCACCCGCTGGCTTAAAACTGCCACCCGAAATATCCTCATCCGAAATATCTTCACCCGCTGGCTTAAAACTGCCACGCGAGATATCCTCACCCGCTGGCTTAAACCTGCCACCCGAAATATCCTCACCCGCTGGCGTAAAACTGCCACCGAAATATCCTCACCCGAGATATCCTCACCCGCTGGCTTAAAACTGCCACCGAAACATCCTCACCCGCTGGCGCTTAAAACTGCCACCGAAATATCCTCTCACCCGCTGGCTTAAAACTGCCACCGAAATATGCTCACCAGCTGGCTTAAAACTGCCACCCGAAATATCCTCACCCGCGGAAATAAAACTGCCATCTAACGGCCTGGTGGTTCAGTTCAGTCTGTCAGTGTCTACCTCGCGAGAATCAAATTACGGGCTGCGCCCGTAAAACGCCGACCGGAGGCATCCGCGCGGACTTCCGACAGCTGACGCGCATGCCGATCCTTCTGACTCGACTCCCCCAGCCCTCTGGCTCCTTCTCGCAGGAGGGCCAGAATCGCTTGAACGATCCACCCTCCGCTAATCGCAGGGCGCCAACCTCCGTAGCTCTCTGGCACAACTGTCCACGCATTCTGCGCACCCCTGCAACCACTCTGAAGAACATGACATGCGGTACAACTCGATATCTGCCCGAAAAAGACAACATACATCCTTGAATATGCTGGGCTCGGCGAGAAAGGACTCATAGGACGGAGGCGAATCATGCAGATGCTTGCTGTAGCGGAGATATGCTGCTCCTGGATCCACCCGGGGGGACTTCTTGACGTAGTGGTGCGATGACATGTTATTCCTGGTCAGGCCCTGTATGTTTTCGGTTTGGCCGAACCAAGCCAATCCAGCATCCAAGCTCTCGAGTGGGAGATGCTGCACCCGGTCAAATTCAATATGTTTGCAGATATCGTCGCACTGGGGCATGTAATGTATGTCTTGCCAATAGCGGCTACGCGTTGCTGCAGTGCGTTTCAAGAAAGCGATGAACTCCGCGAAAGAGGTGTCTGCTGCGAAGTCTGCGATCTCGCGTTCGATAAATGTGTGTATCTTGGTACTCATGGTGTGAATGTACGAAGAGACCACTCGATCCAACGGATTGCGCACAATCTGGAGACACTTCAAGCCATTCAGCCCGCACTCGGAGCACTGGTATGCTTCGTGGTCTGCATCCTGGTTGAATACTCTGACACGGTATTCGTGAATCCAACCGTTGAACTCCAACGCCGTTTTCGTTATGTTCAGGAAATTGAACATGATCTGGGTGGACACCGTGGCGCCGCCCTTGGCTTGTCCCATGATCTGCAACTTGGACGACCGACTCGAAACCTTCAAACTTGGGATACAGGGCAATGATTTGCAATGCTTGGCCGCGGCGGCATTCCGCCTGGACTTCACGATCGTGCTGCCCGCGTGGCCGCTCACATTGATCATGCTGCTCTGGTCAAATACCAGCGCAGAACTTAATCGAACCACTGGTCCTCGCCAGGCCACGCTCAGGAATACGAGCAGCCCCGACATGCACACGAGCGCCACCGACGTGACGCCAACACAAGAGACCATTGGATAAGAGATCGCTGGGATCGAGGCAGTAGGTCTCCAAGACGGCCCAACAGGCTTCCAAGACGGCCCAGAACTTGAGCCACAAAATGCCTTGAGCCAAAATGGCTACGGACGATGGCGAGTCCGCACGCTCTTGGTGGCCGATCAAGTCCCTGGCGGTGATCCATGGGCGGTTGGGGCTCGACAACTCTCCCCCCCTCAGCCTACCCCCACCCCGAACGTTGACCCTAAATGTCCCCCCTCACACTTTCGGGCCTAGTCAGGATCGGATCGCGAAATCGGACCGAGCCTGGAACAGGTCGGATCGCCAGCGCATCGTCCCGAAGCGAACCGAAATCGAAGCGCCGCGCCTGGCTTCGTCTGGCCCCGAAGCCGACGCCGACGAATCGCAGCGCACCAAAAGCGAATCCTCGACTCTCGTCGGATCGTGGGCGGCCCTGCCTTCCTCCTCCCCCCGCCCCCGCTTGACGACGCACAAGTGAAGGGGAACTGGGACACACAAATAAATACACACAAATAATCACCGGACAGCTCGCCCCTTGGCCCCCCGCCAGCCCCACGCCAAGGGGCGAGCATATATACGGGCGCAGCACCTCGCTGGAGGCGTAGCCGTCGGCTGGGCCGACCATGCAGATGATGCATCGCGTGGCGGCTGGATGCCCGCGCCGAGCACAGAGCTCTTCTCGGTTCCTCCGTCCTCTTCCTCCTCCTCCTCCTCTTCCACCTCCTCCTCCTCCTCCTACGACTCCTCCACTTCCACCTCCTCCTCCCTTCTGCCGCCTCCTCATCCCGTCCGCGTCCTCCGCCCTCGAGCTGATCTCCCCCCCCCCGTCGTCCATTTTCAATGAAATCCTCCTCCCGCCGCCTCTTGCCTTGTCCTCCGCCTCCTTCCTCCTCGTCGGCCTCCTCGTCCAGCGCCTTCCTCTTCCCCTTGCCACTCTCCTTGCGAGCACCCTTTCCACGATCTCCGTGCCCTCCTTCCACCCCTCCTCCTCCCTCGTCCTCCTTCCATCGCCTCATCCCCGCCGTCATAATCCTCATCGTCATCATCCTCATCCTCATCCTCATCCTCATCCTCATCATCATCATCATCATCATCATCATCAGCATCATCATCATCATCATCATCATCATCATCATCATCATCATCATCATCATCATCATCATCATCATCCTGCTCCTCCTCCTCCTCCTCCTGCTCCTGCCCCCTCCTCTTCGTCGTGGGTGCCATCTCTGCTCAAACTGCACAAGCCGCCCCCGTGCGAGAGCCCTTCCGCACTCTCCCGGTAGAAATTATGGTAGAAATGGCACCGGCCGTCGCCGCCACGATGATTGCGCAGCGTTTCCACCCTAGAAAGTGCTCACAGTTCCGCAGTGAAGTCAGGCAGTGACAATTGCTCAGCTGCTGTTTCGGCCAAGCCGCCGATCGTGTCCAGCACAGCTGCTTCGGGAGACCCCCGTTTCAGCAACAGCTCTGCAAGGACCGACTGAAAATGTCGAAGCGCATTGGCTTCGAGCGGTGGCCATTTCGCAGCTTCGTATTCTTTCCGTGCCAACAAAGACCGGCTCTGGTTGATCTTGGCCAACCGGTCGAAATTCAAGCCACGTTCCAAAGCAAGACCAGTCAAGGCAGGCACCCGAGACAAGACGGTAAACGTACCGCCCAGATGCATTTCCGTGTCGCCCAAGTTTGCAGCAACACAAGGAATTGTCATGCCCTGGGACTTGTGCATCGTGGCTTAAAACTGCCACCCGAAATATCCTCACCCGCTGGCTTAAAACTGCCACCGAAATATCCTCACCCGAGATATACTCACCCGCTGGCCTAAAACTGCCACCCGAGATATCCTCACCCGCTGGCTTAAAACTGCCACCGAAATATCCTCACCCGCTGGCTTAAAACTGCCACCGAAATATCCTCACCCGCTGGCTTAAAACTGCCACCCGAGATATCCTCACCCGCTGGCTTAAAACTGCCACGCGAAATATCCTCACCCGCTGGCTTAAAACTGCCACCCGAAATATCCTCACCCGTTGGCTTAAAACTGCCACCAAAATATCCTCACCCGAGATATCCTCACCCGCTGGCTTAAAACTTCCACCGAAATATCCTCACCCGCTGGCTTAAAACTGCCACCCGAGATATCCTCACCCGCTGGCTTAAAACTGCCACCCGAGATATCCTCACCCGCTGGCTTAAAACCTGCCACCCGAGATATCCTCACCCGCTGGCATAAAACTGCCACCCGAAATATCCTCATCCGAAATATCTTCACCCGCTGGCTTAAAACTGCCACGCGAGATATCCTCACCCGCTGGCGTAAAACTGCCACGCGAAATATCCTCACCCGCTGGCGTAAAACTGCCACCGAAATATCCTCACCCGAGATATGCTCACCCGCTGGCTTAAAACTGCCACCGAAACATCCTCACCCGCTGGCGCTTAAAACTGCCACCCGAAATATCCTCTCACCCGCTGGCTTAAAACTGCCACGCGAAATATCCTCACCCGCTGGCTTAAAACTGCCACCCTAAATATCCTCACCCGTTGGCTTAAAACTGCCACCAAAATATCCTCACCCGAGATATCCTCACCCGCTGGCTTAAAACTTCCACCGAAATATCCTCACCCGCTGGCTTAAAACTGCCACCCGAGATATCCTCACCCGCTGGCTTAAAACTGCCACCCGAGATATCCTCACCCGCTGGCTTAAACCTGCCACCCGAGATATCCTCACCCGCTGGCATTAAAACTGCCACCCGAAATATCCTCATCCGAAATATCTTCACCCGCTGGCTTAAAACTGCCACGCGAGATATCCTCACCCGCTGGCTTAAACCTGCCACCCGAAATATCCTCACCCGCTGGCGTAAAACTGCCACCGAAATATCCTCACCCGAGATATCCTCACCCGCTGGCTTAAAACTGCCACCGAAACATCCTCACCCGCTGGCGCTTAAAACTGCCACCGAAATATCCTCACCCGCTGGCTTAAAACTGCCACCGAAATATGCTCACCAGCTGGCTTAAAACTGCCACCCGAAATATCCTCACCCGCTGGCTTAAAACTGCCACCCAAATATTCTCACCCGCTGGCTTAAAACTGCCACCCGAGATATCCTCACCCGCTGGCTTAAAACTGCCACCCGAGATATCCTCACCCGCTGGCTTAAACCTGCCACCCGAGATATCCTCACCCGCTGGCTTAAAACTGCCACCCGAAATATCCTCATCCGAAATATCTTCACCCGCTGGCTTAAAACTGCCACGCGAGATATCCTCACCCGCTGGCTTAAACCTGCCACCCGAAATATCCTCACCCGCTGGCGTAAAACTGCCACCGAAATATCCTCACCCGAGATATCCTCACCCGCTGGCTTAAAACTGCCACCGAAACATCCTCACCCGCTGGCGCTTAAAACTGCCACCGAAATATCCTCTCACCCGCTGGCTTAAAACTGCCACCGAAATATGCTCACCAGCTGGCTTAAAACTGCCACCCGAAATATCCTCATCCGTTGGCTTAAAACTGCCACCAAAATATCCTCACCCGAGATATCCTCACCCGCTGGCTTAAAACTTCCACCGAAATATCCTCACCCGCTGGCTTAAAACTGCCACCCGAGATATCCTCACCCGCTGGCTTAAAACTGCCACCCGAGATATCCTCACCCGCTGGCTTAAACCTGCCACCCGAGATATCCTCACCCGCTGGCTTAAAACTGCCACCCGAAATATCCTCATCCGAAATATCTTCACCCGCTGGCTTAAAACTGCCACGCGAGATATCCTCACCCGCTGGCGTAAAACTGCCACCCGAAATATCCTCACCCGCTGGCGTAAAACTGCCACCGAAATATCCTCACCCGAGATATCCTCACCCGCTGGCTTAAAACTGCCACCGAAACATCCTCACCCGCTGGCGCTTAAAACTGCCACCGAAATATCCTCACCCGCTGGCTTAAAACTGCCACCGAAATATGCTCACCAGCTGGCTTAAAACTGCCACCCGAAATATCCTCACCCGCTGGCTTAAAACTGCCACCCAAATATTCTCACCCGCTGGCTTAAAACTGCCACCCGAGATATCCTCACCCGCTGGCTTAAAACTGCCACCCGAGATATCCTCACCCGCTGGCTTAAACCTGCCACCCGAGATATCCTCACCCGCTGGCTTAAAACTGCCACCCGAAATATCCTCATCCGAAATATCTTCACCCGCTGGCTTAAAACTGCCACGCGAGATATCCTCACCCGCTGGCTTAAACCTGCCACCCGAAATATCCTCACCCGCTGGCGTAAAACTGCCACCGAAATATCCTCACCCGAGATATCCTCACCCGCTGGCTTAAAACTGCCACCGAAACATCCTCACCCGCTGGCGCTTAAAACTGCCACCGAAATATCCTCTCACCCGCTGGCTTAAAACTGCCACCGAAATATGCTCACCAGCTGGCTTAAAACTGCCACACGAAATATCCTCACCCGCGGAAATAAAACTGCCATCTAACGGCCTGGTGGTTCAGTTCAGTCTGTCAGTGTCTACCTCGCGAGAATCAAATTACGGGCTGCGCCCGTAAATCATTCGCCCGCTAACAAGGATCATTTGCCTCCTAACAAGGGTCAGGCTTCCGGGGATCAGAATCAGCGAAGAATGGCGAATAATTCCCCTGGCGCAGAATTTCCACGAGGAACTGCCCAGGACAACCAGAAAAGAATTAGCCTGACGAAGGAACCCAAAAATATGCAGCTGCGAGTCCCGCGAGGGAGATGAGACGAAGGATGGGGGCGCGCAAACTCCGAGTAGCGCATGCGGTATAGCCTTCTGCCACGAAGCGTGTGAAGGGTGTGCCGACATGACTCGGGAGGACGCATGCGAACATCGCCATTGGGGCCTTCCGTGGAGATCCCTATGAGGCCACGGAACGTGTAAGGGGTGTGCCGAAATTGGGCGGCGGTGCCATGCGAATTATCACTTGGGCCTTAGGTGGAGCTCCGTATGGGGCCACGAAACGTGTGAGGGGTGTGCCAGAATGGGGCGGCGGTGCCATGCGAACTTTCCCACTGGGGCCTTCGGTGGAGCTCCCTCCCTATGGGAGCACGAACCGTGTGAGGATTTCCCGAAATGGGGTGGCGGTGCCATGCGAACTCTCCCACTGCGGCATTCGGTGGGGCTCCCTATGGGACCACGAAGCGTGTGAGGGTGTGCCGACTTGGGTGCGGTGGCGCCATGCGAACCGAACCCTCACACTGGGGCCTTCGGTGGAGCTCCCTATGGGACGATGACACGTGTGAAGAGTGTGCCGACATCGGGCGGCGGTGCCATACAAACTTTCCCACAGGGGCCTTAGGTGGAGCCTCCGTATGGGGCCACGAAACGTATGAGGGGTGTCCCGAAATGGAGCGGCGGTGCCATGCGAACTTTCCCACTGGAGCCTTCGGTGGAACTCCCTATGGGACGACGGCGCGTGTGAAGAGTGTGCCGGCATCGGGCGGCGGTGCCATGCGAACTTTCCCACTGCGGCCTTCGGAGGAGCTCTCTATGGGGCCACAAAGCGCGTGAGGAACTACCGAAAATGGAGCGGCGGTGCCATGTAAACTTTCCCATTGGGGCCTCAGGTGGAGCCCCTTAGGGGCAACGAAACATGTGAGTGGTGTGCCGGAATGGGATGGGAGAGCAAAGGCAGGGAGGGGAGGAGGGAGGAGAGGAAGAAGGAGAGGAGAGGAGATGAGGAGAGGAGAACGCGGGTCGCTGTCTCCTCAAAACGAGGACCCAACACCACAGGATGGTTGAGAATAACTGCGGTTTGAGACGAATGCGGCCTCGAGCAAGGAACATCCGAGGAAGTGAGCCTACCTTTCCCGACCCACATAAGGCTGCCCCCCATTAGCAGGCGAAACATGAACTTCACGTCGCGGCCCGTGGCGGGACCGCGGGCTGTAATATTCAAGCTTGGGTGCCTCCAGCATGCACGCGCGACTGTGGATGCCACCCCCCTGCTGAGGGCGAGCTGCTCCGCGGCCGCTGCGAGGCCGATGGGAAGCTGTGCGCATCCGCCTGATTGTCCCGCAGGCCGTCGTGCCAGCAGCGTGGGACTGGCCAAGCCCGCAGTGCCTCTTGCCATCGTTCGGACGTCCCTTCCCCTTGCATTGCCGAGTGTCGTGCATGTTTTTTCCAAGATGTCCCAAGATGCCTCCAGGATGTCCCAAGATGTTCCAAGATGTTCCAAGATGCCTTAGATTCTCTGGCGCTGGCCTCGCCAAGAGAAGTACACACGTCCGAGCGATGCCAAGGCCTCGCTTGCCCGAGCCAGAGCGTGTCGCAACGGCGGCCTCGGCGACAAGCGATGCCCTGCAAAGGATAACGTGTCGCTCCGCTCCTCGGGGTGGGAGGCTGGGAAAGGCTCGGTGCGACAGCCACCGTGAGGGCTTGGAAACTCCAAGGCCTCATGGAAGCTGGCGAAGACTGGCATTTGACATCCGGACCGGTGCCGCAATGCTGCCTGACATTCCCAGTGTCAGGGGGCATTGCACCGGGACCATCGTGGAACCCAAGCGGCCCGCGCCACCGCCCCCTTCCTCTCCCCCACTCCCGTCCACTTCCTCATCCCTCCTCGCACGTTGCCGAGGGTGCGAGGAGGGACGACCCCCCACATCCCTCCTCCTTTCCCCCTCCTCCCGCTGCTTCCCCCACCCCCTTTCTCCCTACTCCTCTCCCCTCCTCCCTCCTCCCTCCTTCAGCCTGCTCCGAACCTCTCCCCCGTCCTCCTCCCTCGTCCTCCTGACCTCCCCCTCACCCTCCCGCCCACGCCCCCCCCCCCCCCGCACTCGCGCGCGCAGAGGGGCGCGGCGGCCCCGCCCGCCGCCGCTGCTTGCCGCCCCCGGGCGGCCTTCAGCTGGCAGGCCGCGCCGATCGCCGCGCGCGCCTCCTGCGGCGCCAGGGGCCCTCCCCAGCGGACTCGACTTTTCCCAGAGGAGCGGGTCGCCCGACGTGGGCCTGAAAGCCTCCAAGTCCGCGGGCGGAAGGCCCCCGAGCCGAACGAGGAGGAGGCTTCACCGCGACTCGGCAGAGTCGGCATGCCACACTTCGTGCCGCTGGGTGCCACCGATCGCAGACAGGCAATCGCTTGCAAAGGTGTGTTGCCACCCTTTACGCGCAATTCTATCGCGAGGGTGCTTCTCCTCAGACGGCTGGCCAGGAGAACAATGCGATGAATCCAATGGACACTGATTGATAATATCGTACCCCTGCGAAGCACAAGGGGGTGATACTCCGCCGCCGCCCCGTCGCCCCCCCTCCCCCAAAATAAACGTTGATCTCAGGACGAATGGCGACTTCGGGGCACGAATGTTTCTGTCCACTCTCAGCCCCGCTCATCGCCTCTCCGCCAACATGAAACAGGGGGTCCAGAGAGAGCATCTTGAACCTCAGGGTAATTACGGTTCGAATGTCCATTCACGGTCCGACCTCCTCCCTCTTTCTCCTCCTCCTCCTACATAATGCCTGATGGTAAACATGTAGTCCTGACGCTGCCATCCCCCCCCCGGGCCGGTCGACCCTGGGGGGTTGATCAAACTAGTGAACCAGGTGGATGTTGCACTGGCTGGGCGAAGAATAGCGGTAACAAGTAGCGACAGCAGAAGTAGAAAGGACGAGGTAAAAAGAGTAGCATGATACAATAACCTCAAATGGAGAAGGGGACACGGAATGTAGTGACTGCGTGGCGGCGTCCGGAGTGGCGGTGTGAGGCAGCAGGGGTAAGGGCGCCGAGCGGGCGTGCTGCCAGGGCCACATTCGTTAAAGGGAAAGGCGCAAAGGCCTCTCTTCCTGCCCAGAGGGAGTCCCCACAGCCAGCCAGCCGCCAGCTCCACGACGTGCACCTCCTCCCTCGACCTCCTCCTCCTCCTCCTCCTCCTCCTCCTCCTCCTCCTCCTCCTCCTCCTCCTCCTCCTCTTACTCCTCCAACTCCTCCTCCTCCTCCCCGTCCTCGTCCTCGTCCTCGTCCTCCTCCTCCTCCTCCTCCTCCTCCTCCTCCTCCTCCTCCTCCCCCAGCTCCTCTGCCTTCTCCTCCTCCTCCTCCTCCTCCTCCTCCTCCTCGATGCGTTCCACGACCCCGAAACCAAGTCCAGTGGGTCGCGACGTGAGGCGGAGAAGTGGCGTATCCCAAGCACTTTGATTTATACAACGTGTCCTCCTCCGAAGCCTCCTCCTCCGCGCTCGTGGCATATCCTCCTTTTCATCCGAGCCGTCTTCGTTATCCTCCTCCTTCTTCTGCTTACTATTATTCGTATGTTTCTTCGTCTCACCCGAAACGTCTCTTCCCTTCCCTTCCTCCGCCCACATTTCTGCCTCCTTCTCCTCCTTCTTCTCCTCCTCCTTCTCCTCCTCCTTCTCCTCCTCCTTCTCCTCCTCGTCCTGCTCCTCCTCATGCCCCGCCTCCTACTGCTGACATGCGTGCTCCTCATGGTCCACCCCCTTGGGAGCGGGAAATTAGACCTCACACACACATGAACCTCCAAGGGAAACAATCGAGAAGCGAGCTCGAGAGGTGGAGGTGGACGCATGTCCCCGCCCGAGGCCGAATGCACACCCCAGGGGCCAGCGGAGAGTCTGGTTGTGTACAACATCTGTGTGGATACACATCAAGCTCCGACTCCTCCCCCTCCACGAGGTACGAGAACGGCACCCATGCAGCGTACCATCATGAGGCCTCGCTTCAAGACGGTACGTAGCACAATACTTCGGCTCGAAGGGGCCGAAAGACTATGCGCCGTACCATTCCTGGGCCGAGGACCGACGACGCCTCAGGAAACGCCAGCGAGGTACGGTGCACACAAGTCGTCCGCAGACGAGGAGTTCGGGGTCGATACTTGTATGTTTGGGAAGATTGACCTGCAATCGACGATCCATCCCCGATGGGTCGGGCAAGGGCTTGGTATTCGGAAGCGAAGCTGGACATTCCTGAGCCGGATGGGGCCCCCAAGTTCGGATTGGCGAGGACTGGGCCATTGGGGACACACTTCCCCCTCCTGACCAAATTCGTATGCGTGTATATCTAAGGTACAAATATACATAATCTAGCTCATGCTATATATAGATATGGTTATGTATATGAAAAGAGGTGGTCCCCAGAGGCCTTCGGGTGCCCCCGGAGATCTCCACAAGCCGGCCCAAGCGGCCACGAGCCTGTAAGACACACCGACCTGCCACGGCGAGGGGCGACGACCGTGAGGAGACCGAGGCCTCTGCTCCTCCTCCACGAGGGGTCGAAGCTGCAGCCCCAGATCCCGCGAGGAGGCGCGGCGGCGCTTCTCGGGACAGCCCGGCCTCTCGACGTTCACCCCCCCGGCGCCTTCTCAAGCGGGGTGGAACCTTCTTATCGGGTGCCCCTGGCCCAGGGTGCCCCCGGGATCTCCAAGGAGGGCCGCACCGGTCCCAAGAGACCCCCTCGCACAGAGGGCCCCAGGGGCCCCAAAATGGACCGCAAAGCTGGGGGTACCCTGGGCAAGGGGCACCTTGAGCAACTCCCGACCTTCTGATCGAGCCATGACATACGGTCAGGACCTTTCAAATACCGTGTTGCGGCGGAGGCCCTGGCGACACGCTATGCCCTGCGAGCGGGAGGTGCGTATCGCTCCGCTCCGCGAGGTGGGAGGCTCGGAGAAGCTCGGGGCATTGACGCTGGGAGGCTGGGGAGTGGATAGCGTATCGCACTGATGCGTGGTGGGCCTAAGACCGGCGGGCCGTCCGGATTCGGAGCGTTCGCGATGTCAGAAGCCAGGAGACCAGAGAAGGTGGGGTGGAACTTTCGACGTTGCCCCGTTAGGTCGTTCGGTTTCCAACTTCCACGGCATTTGGAGCCGCGAGGGGGGCAAAGGGAACTGTGACGCGGACGGCAAGGCCTCCGAGAGAGCAGCTGACTCGGGAGGCTGGTGGCCGACAAGGGAAACGCAGCAGACCAATTGGCTGCCAGCTGCCAGTCAGACCTCGAACGAGGGGGGGGGACGGAGAAGGGACGAAATTCAGGGGCAGCAGGAAGGCGAAAAGGCAGTGGCGGGGGGAGGCCGTGCCATTCCCCCCTCCCCCTGCAGGAGGCAGGAGAGGGACGCAGACAGCCATGGATCAACTAACCACTCATCGCATCGTCGGGTGCGGGTGCAATGCCAAGGCCGCGAGAGAGGCAAGCATTCAGCGGGCAGAAGCTGTCCGTCGAAAGTGGCCGAAACTCGGGCCACCGATGCGGAGGAGAGAGGGGGGGGACAAGGAGGAGGAGGAGGAGGAGGAATGAGCAAAAGAGAGGGCTGATACGAAAATGCCCCAATTCGTATCATCTAGCTCCGTGCGTTGCACGGCGGAGATAACAGATCGCACCCAACGGTGATTACCAAAGGGAAGATAACTACGCACAGAACTGAGCAAATCCCCGGTCAGCGCCAGCCGACTCCAGCGAGTCCCGGCGCCCCACTGACCATCGGCGTGCTCCCAGGGGTGCCGCACAACTTGGCGGCACAATCAAGAAAAGTATGCGAAAGAGATGGGGGACAGACGCAGACGGAAGAGGCGAAGAGGGGAGGACGGGAGAGGGGAGAGAGAGGAACGCAACCCTTCTGATTGTCCGGCGGGTGCTGGGAGATGTCGGAGAGACCGCACGAGCCGAGCCATCGGCACAAGATAAGAGCGGACATTCTGGTGTAGATCGTGCGGTCCGTAGGGTCATACTCAGATATCGGCAATCTCCACCAGCGCAGACACACAGCGGTTCGGGCTAAGTACATAGGCGGCATCTCCAGAGGGCTCTGGCAAGAGGCGCTACTCAACACAGGACAAACTCCAAGACGCAAGCTGTCGAGATGTCTTAGTGCGTGCTCCGCTTCAGCATGGCGGCATGTGGATTGCCACATGGCCAAAGGTCATACTCATAAAGAAAATCCTCCACGACATGCTTACAATTTGTTCCGTCGCGGCGCGGCAGAGAGAATTCGCTCGCGCGCTCGAGCTGCCGTGGGGGCTCGGCACACTAACTGTCTGGCTGCGAAAAGGAAAAGATGGCGGGGAGGAACGACCGCGACAGACACGAAGGGGAATAGGACACGAACCGAGGGCATATATTCAGGATAAGCGCGAGGGTGCGGCCAGCGGGGGCTGAAGTGACCTGGCAGCGGGCGCGGGACGGCATCACGACACACACACACACACACACACACACACACACACACACACACACACGCGCACACACACATACACGCACAACATCGTCCTCCTCTTCTGCCTTCCACCTCCCCGCTCTTCCTCCTCCTCCATCTCCTTCATCCCTCCCTCCCTCCTTCAAGCACGCGGGCCGCCACCATGCCAACACCTTGCCCTCGCCCGCCCACCACCCGTCCCCCTCCTCCTCCTCCTCCTCCTCCTCCTCCTCCTCCTCCTCCTCCTCCTCCTCCTCCTCCTCCTCCTCCTCCTCCTCCTCCTCCTCCTCCTCCTCCTCCTCCTCCTCCTCCTCCTCCTCCTCCTCCTCCTGCTCCCTCTGCTCCTCTTCCTCTTCTGGCGACCACGACGACGACGAAAACGATGACGAGAGCGAGGACGACGAGGACGAGGACGAGGACGAGGACGAGGACGACCCCCCTGGGGACCCTTCCTCCGCGTGGACCTTCTGCGCCACCCGCACCGAGACGAACAGCTGGTCGCCGTGGCTCACGTCCACGCTGCGAGCCTCTCCGCGCGAACGCTGGCAGGCGGAGAGGCGGGGGCGGTGCGCTGGAGGGAGGGGAGCCGAGCACGAACGAAGCAGATCGCGCCGCTGTCGGCACAGCTGGACCCAGCTCGGCTACACGCAAGAGTGACCCTGGGCAACAGTGACCTGTGATGCGCGGCTTCAGGCGGGCCGTGGGGAGGCCGAACCTAAGCGCGCAAGACGCCACTATCGCATCGCGTTCGGCGGCCGGAGGGCTCCAGTGGGTCCGCGCCAAAGGCCACTCGGGCAGAAGGTCACTCTTACGTCTAGTCGATGACAAGAGAGGGCGAGGAGCTGCTATCAGACAGGCGGGCCTGCCTCGAGCAGCAGGGCAGGAAAGCCGTGGAACACCGCGGGCGGTGTACAGCGCATGGCGTAGCGAGGCCCTGACGAATTGCATACCCATGGTTTGCTCGTTGCCTCCAACCAGCTACGCCCAGACTTCACCGAAGCCGCCGCTCCACTTTTCTCACTGGTCCGTCGATGCGGCCTCTCGAATTTTGGATGCGCCCAAGACTCAACAACCAAACGCCGCACGAAAACTTGTGGGTGATGACCTAGTCGAAGTTTTCCACATGCTTGTATGTTCTGGCCCAGTATTGGACGACCCAATCACTCACACCGACCGGTTCGAAGCCGAGGTGCGCGTTGCGCCCAGTCCGCCCAGGGCTCCATGTCCAGATCATCTGGCTCCTCGCCAAAATCGATCGTCGGTCTCCTTTCTGGTTAAAGAAGAAGACGAAGGAGAAGGAGTGAACATCCCCTAAAGAGTCCTGGTTACCTACGCCTCACGCAGACGCCGGATAGCGAGAGCACGGACGCGAGAGGTGGGATGAGCCTGTGATGTGGGCTTCGATTCGGAAAATTGCCCCCCCCCCCCCCAAGTTCCGCAATGGGGAAGGACACGATTAGGATTTTCGGCTGGAGTTGTTTTTCTAATAATTGTGTCGCTCCTCAGTCCCCCTCCCCCCTTGGATTTCGATGTCCCTCCCCTCCTCCCCATTTTCGCCGTTCCCCCCCCCCCTCAAGCGTGCCCTCGTAGTCGTGGTTTCCAATTGAGAAAGTCGTGAACCGGGGGCTTGCGCCCCAGAAGAGGGGGAGTAGCAAGAGAAGGATGGCGAGAAGGATCATGATGAGGAGGAGGAAAGAAGGATGGGGGGAGGAGAGGCAACCGACGAGGAGAAAAAGGGGGATAACGGGGAGGAGGAGGAGGAGGAGGAGGAGGAGGAGGAAGAAGAGAAGGAGGAGGAGGAGGACGACGACGACAGTGGGCTCTTGGATGTGTGCTGTGATCTCGTGGGGCCATGTGGGCCCCACGCGGTCACAATCAAGCAATTCAAGGTCGTGCCTTAGCTGCGCAGAGAATAGCACCACCATCACTGTCCTCACGAAGGGAACGATCTATGAAAAATCCTTTATGGGTTTGGCCGTGCATACCTGGTTCCAACGAGTAAGACGTTCAATTTACGACCATCCCACGATAGACCATGCATCGGCCGTGGGGCCTTGGACTCCGCACCCGTGAAGTATCTACAGGACGTTATTGTTGTACGTCGACGTCCTCAGCTGGCGCATTGCAGCTGGCACTTGGAAATCCTGTACCGTCGCCGCCGTCATCGCATGTCTCTGGCCAGGCAACTTCGCATCATCGTTGGACACCGCCAGAGTGCCAAAGTGCCACACATCGGCATGCATCTTACAATAAATCACCTGGGAGATAGAGTCAGCATCGGCACTGGTATACCCGTGGTCGAAACTCGGCCACATGTGGCAGAATCCCCTTGAGTCCAACTTAATATGGCTTGATCCCTAGCTGAATCTGGGCTCGCCTGGCGTAGCCACCCCCTTTTATCGGGCCTAGTATTAAGTCGGGCGTGCTCCCCTACAGTTGGATTTTCGAGGAAAAATTTTAAAAATACCCCAAAAGTACCCCAAAAAGGTAAACAAATATTCAAAAAATAGTCCCCAGACTATTTTTGGACTATTTTTTACTATTTCGAGGGCATGTCTTATTTTTCGTTGAAAATCCCCCTGTAGGGGGACAGGCCCGATTTAAGCCTAGTGGCCATTGAGTCCCATGGCGGGCTCTTGGAGCCCTCTGCTCCAACGTCGCAAGTTGTTCGTGACACGGGCCCGCGGAGATCTCGACCCATTCCCGAGTGCCAGCTGTTCATCCCGAGTTGTCGTTTGACGGTCCCAGAGCCCGAAAACAGCCTCCAGAGGCTGAAACCATCAAATGACCAGCCGTCGCGGGGGGGGCCAGCCTCACGGTGCGGCGGGGGCCAAGCCTCACGGTGCCCCCCGCTGCGCAGGGGGTACCGGCTGGAACGGCGGCGGGGGCCAGCCTCACCGCACCCCCCGGCGCGCAAGGGTACTGTGAGGTTGGGGCGGCGGCGGGGCCCGGGCCAGCCTCACGGTAGCGGCGGGGGGGGGCCGTTAGGGCACCGGCGCCGCCCGGCCCAGCCTCACGGTGCCCCCCGGCGCGCAGGGGTACCGTGAGGTTTGGGCGGCGGCGTGGGCGGAGGGGTGCCGTGAGGTTGGGGCGGCGGCGCGCCAAGATGATCCAAGAGGCCCCCATAACGAGCTCAGATGGCTGAAGATGGCCTCGGGTCGACCCAAGAAGCCTCCAAGACGGCTCCAATAGAGCCTCTAGCAGAGCCCGAAGGAGCGAAAACCATGTGTTGTCCGTAGGTGTTTGAAGGATGTTCGCATTCTGGCCGTTTCGAGCTGTCGCCGTCCCACGACAGCCCCGGAAGCCTCCAGGATGGCTTCCAAACGGGTCAGGGGGGTACCAAGAAGGCCCAAAAGACGGCCCAAAAGGACCCTAAGTCGGCCCAACTTAAAGCTCAGACGACCCTCGAGGTCCCCAACAACGCTCCAAGACGACACAGAGAGCCCCCCAAGAGGGACTCTGAAAGCGCCCATGCGGCCCAAGATCGCCCTCATACGGCCCACGAAGCTCCTTAGAGCCCCCAAGGCGCTGCGAAGAAAACCCCAAAGGCCCAAAAGAGTCCCTCAAGATGCCCCCAGAACCTTCAAGAGGCCCGAAGTTTCGCACTTGACGGCCTCCCGTGCCCCAGCGAACTGTCGCCACCCAACATGCTGGACTGGCACGGCGGCGGGACTTGCCGCAGGCAGCTGGATAGTTGGTCACCTTTTCGCGCCTCAAACGTTTGATGTGCATCTAATGTGCCGAGACGTGATCGCGCGATGTCCCCTCTAGCCTCTCCCAGGCAGCACCACCGTTTTACCTGGATGTAGCGCCAGCCCGCACATTTTCGCATGGCCCAACGACATCTGCAAGCATGCGCCTGAGGCCCGGCAGCGCGCTGATCTCGAATGCGGCACAGATGCAACGGCGCAAATTCGCCAATCATGCTCCATCGTGATCGACGACGGGAGCGCGGGCGATGAGGACCGTGTTTGAGACTGCGCCTGAGGATGGCGGAGTCGGAAATGCCACCTCGCCACAAACTTCCATCACAGGCCCGATCAAACCCGCTCCCTCGGCCGAGCGCTCGCGGCCTAATGTGGGCGCAAGGCTTGTATCGTATATATGATGTACACGTAAATGTGTATACATGGTGCTTATGAGCCTGGGTAACAATCTATCGAGCGCCCCTAGATCGCCTCAGGCACGCGGCCGCGCGTCGCGCGAACAGCAGACGACAGCGAAACTGAAACGCCGCAGCCGCCGCCACGGCCGCCGCAGCCGCCCCCGCTCACGCTTTCAGCTCGGGCAGGCGGGGCCCGCCCGAACAGGCCGCCGCGGCACGGCGCGCTTTGTCGCCCCGTCGGCCCGCGTGCCGAACGGGCGCCGCGTGGGCGCTGCACGGCGACGGCCCAGCGCCCCCATGGACTTCGCGGACAGCCTCTGCGTCTGCGGAGGGGGGCGAAGGGAAGGAGGAAAAAGGGGGGAGAAGGGGGAGGGAGGGGAGAGGGAGCACAGGGATTGGGAGGAGTCCAGGCGGAGGAGGGGGAAGAGGGAGCCCAATTCGCTTGCCCCTCCTCCTGATCCTCCTCCTCCTCCTCCTCCTCCTTCTCCTCCTCCTCCTCCTCCTCCTCCTCCTCCTCCTCCTCCTCCTCATCATCATCATGTTCCTCTTCCTTCTTCTCCTGCTCCTGTTTTTCTTCCTCCTCCTCCTCCGCCTCCCCTCCAGTTTCTCCACCTCTCCTCCTCCTACTATTCCGATGTTCCGTTGCGGACCCTCCAGAAAAGTGCGGCCCTGCACCTTTGAGACCGCATGCGTGCGATGTCTGTGCTGCGTCTTGTCCGACACACCGCGAATTTCCATCTCATCAGACAGCGGCTCATAAGACGCGCAAAACATACAACGAGTACATGGGCGATACAGCTACCTGCCCTGTGTGCAACCACTCGCACAGTAGCCGCCAGCACCTTTTGAAACACTTCTATCAGAAGCAATGCTGTGTTACGATCACGAATGGAGGCTACCCTAAGGTGCCTCTCCAAGAGCGCGAGCGCGCCGAGCAGGAAGATCGTGAGCTTCTGAACCAGGCCCGCAACCAAGGCAGAACCTATCTCCTGGCCGGCGACCGACTTCGGAGTTGAGAATCCGTTGCGCTATTTAGCGCCTCTTCTATCCAGTCCATCTTGCGGCTTTCACTTCCTCGGGACCAAAAAACACTCCTCCCTGTCGCATCCCGAGGCCGGTAAAAAAGGCACCCCGGGCGTTTCACGTCAGACTTCCTCACCGCTCGTGACCCTGATGCTTCAACCGCTACAACAGTTTCACACATGGAGGGCGGGTGGTTTTCAAAGTGTGGCTCTCGCCTTAGCGACGCGCGCACTCGTTGCAAGCATGTGCAAGAGCTTCACGAATTGAGGGCAGCTGGATTTCAACATGTGGCTCTCGCCTTAGCGCCGCGCGCATTCGCTTTCAACATGTGTAGGAGCTTCACGGATCGAGGAAACATGTGTAAGAGCTTCACGGATTGAGGGTGGGTGGTTTCCAACAGTTGGTTCTCGCCTTAGCACCGCGCGCATCGGTTATAACAACTTGAAAGGTTGTCACGGATTGAGGGCGGGTGGTTTTCAAACTGTGCCTCTCGCCTTAGCGCAGCGCGCATTCGCTTTAAACATGTACAAGAGCTTCACAAACTGAGGGGGGGTCCAAATGTGGCTCTCACTTTAGCGCCGCGGACATTCGTTTTAAACAGTTGCAAGAGCTTCACGGGTTGAGGGTTGTTCTATAAAAATGTGGCTCTCACCTCAGCGCCGCGCACACTCGCTCTAAACACTTGCAAGAGCTTCACTGGTTCTCACGGTTGCCTTACAAGAAGCGGTGCTTTGGAATGGCTCAAGAATGTAAGGGCGCAACACTTGTGTTTATTCGCGGTGTTGAAAAATCACGGATGCTGTTCTGGCACGATGCGGGATCGCCAATACATACCAATCAGGTTAACTCGTGGCGCTGAAGTAATGAGAATAGCTGTGCCTCAACGGGGCACTTCCCTCAATGGAAGTGACCCCTTGTAAGGGGCCTATGAAGGAGGGATCTTGGAGGGAGGGTGTATCCCAACACCGTTGAAGAGTATTGGGTTTACACTGGTCCTCCCCCTCCTCCTCCTCGTCCCTGCTCTTTCATTCTCTTCGTCAACCTCCTCCTCCTCCTCCTCCTCCTCCTCCTCCTCCTCTACCTCCTCGCGGGGGGAGGCGCCCGCCTCGTGGCATACCAGGGTCACGTCGAAGCTGGTGTTGGACTTTCGCGACGCTGTCTGTCTCTCTGTTCTCTCTCTCTCTCTCTCTCTGTTTCACTCTCTCTTTCTCTCTTGAACATCTCTCTCTCTGTCTCTGTCTCTATCTCTCTCTCCCACTATCTCTCTCTCTCTATCACCCCCTCTCGCTATCTCGGTCTCTGACTCTCTCCTACCGGCGCCGCGTAAGCGGACGCACGAGCCAGCGTGACACAAGGAGAGGTAGAGGACTAGGGAAGGGAGGATGTTCTGGAAGGGGAGGAGGAGGCTGGGGGAGGAGGAGCACACAGAGGCGGACGAGAGGGGGATTAAAAGGGCGGAGAGAAGAGGGATGAGAGGGGGAACAGGAGAAGAGAGCAGGGGGAATGAGGATGAGACGATTCTGAAATAGATCCAGTGGGGTGGGGAGGACGAAGGTCAAGGCCATAAAAATCCTTCATATATTAACGATGATGCACCAACATGTTAACCCAAGAACGAATTCAATGACATCTCCGCTTTGAAACCGCCATCCGTGTTAGCGCTGCGCTAGTTCCAAATGCTTGTCATAACACGGATCGAGGCTTCAAAACAAAGCCACATTGCAAACATATCAGCCCTCCACCCGTGTAGTTGTGCAATGTTGGAAACCTGGTAACAAACTTCGAAACCATTCCACGGGTACTCCCAACTTTGAAAAAGAGCAACCCTCCATCCTTGTAACTGCTGGGCGTGTTTGGGCGAGTGTGCGCGGCATTCAGGCGAGAGCCCCATGTCCCATTTTGAAAACGGGCTGCAACCCATTCGTGTCAAGAGTGAGCAATGCTGAATCCTGTGTAGTAGAGGTTGAAGCATGCCAAAAAAAGGGATGGGGATCAACACATCCTTCATCAGTGAAGCTGTTCCCTTGAAAATTGCTTGGGAAGGTCATAAGGAGGCGGGATGTCACCAGATTGAGGCTCACGTCACGGGGTGAAGGTGGAGTTCCAAACACGTGCGCACGGCAACACATTCTGCTGCTTGGGGGCGCATCTGGCAGGGCAACCGCAGGTTTCAGGCCAGCCTGACCAGGAGTACCGACCGCTGGCGTTATGGCGTCCCCGCGAGGATGCTACCCATGCCTCTTCGGAACGCCCGGCCCACCTCTTCTGGACTCGAGCATGATGAGACAAGAGACTCCCAGCACCTCCTCCCAAAGGCCAGGGCTGAAAAGCAATCATTCCCAACCAAATGGTTCCGAGGGCTCCAGCCTGAGGACCACACGAATGGCGACCTCGAGACTCGCCCGAGCAGCGACCAGAGTTCCACGGCACGGGATGCCTCTGCGCGGGGCGTTGCAGCTTCCAAGATACCAGGGTAGGAGGCACAGGTGGCTGAGGTGGCAAATGTTGCAGTAATCCTCGGCTTCGTGAGCTGGTTGGTTGAACACCCTACCTCTGGAGTGGCCCCACAAAGTAAGTCGGCCGCTCGACGTACAGCCGGCCCGTATCAGAAGGACGCGCGATAAGGATGCAAGGGCCTTGGACGCGCATGACGAAGCTTCTCGAGAGGGGCGCGGCCGACGAAAGTGGCTGAGGATGGACCGAGGAGGCAAGGATGCAAGGGCACCCTCAGGAAACCCGCCCATCCTTACTATGCGGGTTGACTGGGCTCGACATATGTATACGTGTGCGGTGCCGCGTGCAAGTGTACCGCATCAAGCGACACCGCTGGAACAATAAGCAGTAGCAGCCCCGGCGGCGCTAGGTGGGAAACGCCTTGTCCCCATGCCCCCGTTGCCAGAACCCTCATCGAGCGATAATCGACAGAACACCCGCAGCGGCCTAAACGCCGCAGAAGCCAGCACCCGCGGAGCCCGTCCAGCAACTGCGTGGAGAGAAAGGGCTGTTACGAGGTTTCCCCTCGTCGTGTTGGTTGCGGTGTGGTTCTCCTTGGCCAGGCCAATGTTGCCACGGGCCCGCTGTTCGGCCCCCCCCTGGGGCCCAGACAATGGCAACTGGCAGTGGTCCTGTTGAGAGGCATGAGCCGCTGGGACCCCTGGAAGGGAAGGACCAACACAGACCTCTTGCAGATTTCTGGGGTGTCTACTGGGCAAGGGGCCACCACATAGCATTGAAGGAAACGACGGCTCACGACGCCCCCGCCGACAGGACAGGAACAGTACGCCTTGATGTTCACATCGCCAACGGCACCGCCGACGCTGTTGCCAACACTGCGGCGGAGTGCTTCGATTTCACCGAGGAAGAACTGCAGCATGTTCGCAGACTAGACCATGCGATGAACATAATTCGGGCCAGGCTGGCACGTATTCAGCACCTGACTTGGAAGTACGGCCCCAATTTGAGGCTCACAAAGGCACCCAAGAAAGCTCGGGCCCCCAAGCTGCAACGGGTGCACATGCTGTAAATTTGCACGGTTCTACCAGCAGTTGTAGTCGGTGTGCGATGTACTCCAAGAGGCCAGAGCCAGGGCGGGCAACAAGAGCTTCTCTTCCTATGGAAACGGTGTTTGATGTGCACCCATACCGCACCAACCTATGCACGGGGGAGATGATTTGTGCGAAGTGCCGTGGGTGGGCCACCCACCAGAAGCCAGGAAGACGCTTCAGGAGCAGCGTCGGGCCCAACGCAAGCACTGGCATCAACATGTCCAGGAGACCGCTGCAAGGTTGGAAGCCCAATGGACTCCTTGACTGGCCCGCGTGGCAGCTTGCCTATTTAGGAGAGCAGGTTGCCTCCCACTGCGGCCTGCCGTCAGACCGCATCAGATGGTCGGTCGGGCTTTTGCGAAGGACTCTGGCGTGCAGGGACAATGTTTCATCTGCTGGTAATTAATACCTGGGGGAGGCTGGCGATGAGGAGAGTGACGGAGGAGGTTAAGCAACATCAGGAGACAAGATTCCTCTCATCTACCTCGGCCTGGCAGCTAGGGAATGAACGGGACGGTGGAGCAAGGTAGGCGCAGCCATCCGCCTTCTCATCATCCTCATCGTCCCTGGCCCTCGCTTCTCCAAGTTTGCCCTAATCTCTGTCACCTCGTGCCTACAAAGCGTGGTTCTCATCACTTCGTCGAATCGCCGGCTGTGCCAACCCCATCCGCAACCCCCATTGTTTTCTGCATGCGCCTGGCCACGCAAGTGCCACTCGTAGGTAGCGCGCGTGCCACCGGGCCTCGTGTTGTGGCGTTCGCTCGCTCTCCTCCTACTCCTCCTCCTTCTCTGCGAAGCGGGGACTTATCCACATCCACCGCCTGGGAATCGACGTCCTGGTGCCCCAGCGGGCGGTGGATATGGATATATTTCGGCCCCCGGGGACCCGAATGTCCATATCCACCGCCTGCCGAGGCTCCGAAAGCTGACCCTCCAGGCGGTGGATATGGATAAATTCTCGCCTCGGATTCTCCTCCTCGTCCGCCCCCCACAGCGGCCCGAATGCCTCGAACAGGCACGCCTCGCGCGAGACGCCCCACTGCTTCAGGAAGTCGAGCGTCCCAAGGCTCGACGTAGTCATGCCTCCCTGTGTCCCCTCCTCGACATATCCTCCCTGCCTTCCTGCAAGCTCCAGGCTACGGCCCCCTCCCTCCTTCGTGCATGGTCCCCTGCTCCTGCGCACACCTACATCCTGCTCCCTGCCGGTCCATCCTCCACACCCTCCCCTCCTCACCCTCACCTCCTCATTATACTCCTCACCCTCCTCCTCGTCCTTCTCCCGCCTTCGGCTGTCAGCTCCTCCAAATGGTCCTCATTGTTGTTTCAGTGCATGCGCGGGTTGCGCAGGATCCCGAGGCACTGGCGGCAGTTGTGCATCCGCAGTCCGCGAAGAAGGCGGAGCAAACAACAGATAAACTTCATGCTGGGGCTACCAAGCGAACGTCAGCACATGCAACTACACAAAAAGATGAGCACGCTCCCAATACGTACCCACCGTGCGCCGTCGGCAAGTAATTGCATAAACTCCGACGGGGCATTCGATGTAATCACCGAAATGATGATGCAGCAACCGGGCAAGGATTTGCGGGCGCTGCCTGCACATATCTCCGCTAGCACGGCCGCGTTGCGAACTTAAGACAGCAACGACGTACCCAACAAACCTGCAACAAAATAAAACATTTACGGACCAGTGCCTATTTCAGTACCAGGGGCGTTAAGGCAGCTACGCGTCAAGCAACTCTCACGTATCATTCAGGCGTGAGTTACTGGGCGACCCTCAGGAGCTCGAGTTAAGAAGGAAAGTTTTGTGCTCGCAATGACCAGTCGATCTTGTTGACGATGTTCTGGATGAGGTGTGGCGGGGTCTGATGCTCGACATCGGACCACTCCACCCAAATAGCAAGGGACTTCTGCGCACTGGCTTGGTCATCCGTCTCAAGGCCCCGAACATGCGGTCGGATGCAGTTGCAACCTATTCCATCAATTCATCCGTAGACCCCTGTGCATCCGAAATGGCGCTGGCGCCCGGCTCATGAACAGAAACCGTGCCCACGCAGAAAGCGCGCGAAGCAATAGAGAACTTCAGCGCACCCTGGTCCCGCTTACGGAGCTCTGCCCGGATCTCGTCCGACTCAAATGACTTCGTGTCCGAAGATGGGGATGCACACCAAAGGCGTGGCGAAGACTTTCATGCAGTAGCAAAGACTCCCTTTCAACGAACCAGTGGAAGAGATGACAGCATTGATCTCCACAATTCCTTGGAATTTTGCCTAACTCCATTCCGCTGGTGTCATCGGTCGATGGCTGTTCAACAGCTGATTCAGCAATGGCAGCCCTTGCCTTCAAGACAATATCACGAGCAGCGTTTTCGCGAGCAAGCCGCGTTTCAAGCAACGATTGCCCCTCGGAGTCCTTCAAAGAAGTACCGCCCAGCAACATCACGATACAGCTTGCATCTGCGACGCTGCAGCCGCGGAGGAACATACATCTTGAAGTAGTGGCGAAAGGTCAAAATCACAGAAACCACACGGCGCTGCAGAAACAACTCGGAAAGCTCGGAAAGCTCGGAACGCCGCCACGAAACCTACGATTGCCGCTGACACAAAGCCTCATTCAACCTATCCTGGAGATCCGCGATCTTGCCAGAGAGGACGACCTTGTCGTTCTAGAGCTGCGTGATCATCAACTCCTCGCGGGCGAACAGCAACAACATGCCGAGACGAACGAAACGTCTGCTGACTGATGCCAGGAAGCTCGTACAAGACCATCGCGAAAGAAAGCGGAACGCTACTTGCCCCTTGGTTCCCAGCCGCCCTTGGACCCTGAGCCTTGACACTCGAGCCTTGGCCCTTGGGCCCTAATCAGTCTTAACGAATGATGATCTGACGGGGCACGCGATCCCTCGCGAAAATTCGGCGTATGGATCCCACATGATACACGCCACTACGACCTGAAGTTGTTCAACAGCGAAGAATACGACATGGAGGAGGGAAATCATGATGACCACGACGCCACTCTGGCGGCACCCGGGCGAGACCGCGCAAGCCTGGGTCAGGGATCAGAAGCAGATTTTCCGAACTCGTGGCGCTGCGCAGTGGAAAAATGGAGCAGCCAGAAGCTGTCCATGGCGCTGGCGTCGCAGGGGTGGAGCAAAGTGGCGACACCCTCACTTGCGAAACTCCAGCGTCTCCCCCCTTTCAAGCGCAGCTGAATTTTTGCCCTAACCCCAGCGGACCGGTGGTAGCGAGCAGAGGATGACAATCGACGCCAATACGTCGAGCAGTGCCACTAAATATACATCCACTCTTGAGCCGTGTGCGATTGAAACCTGCAGAAGAAGGACGAGGAGAAGGAGGAAGAGGACGAAGAGCAAGAGGCGAGCTCGAGCGACAACATTCGGTATCGCGCACAATGGCGACAACACATTGTGGCTCTTGTTCGGCGCCGTGTGCGATTGAAACCTGCAAAAGAAGAAAGAGGAGGAGAAGGAGGAAGAGGACGAAGAGCAAGAGGCGAGCTCGAGCGACAACATTCGGTATCGCGCAAAATGGCGACAACAAATTGTGGCTCTTTTTCGGCGCCTTGCTGGCCGAAGAGCTCCCCACCGTCAACCTGCAGCACCGGCGAAAATGGATGCAGTTGAGAACCGTTTTCTCCCTCACCCAGCGCGTTGACAAATACGCAAAGAGCAGCGCTCAAGCCTGCCTGCCATAGGCGAGCCGTTGCTCGCAACCCAGAGCTGGAAAGACAGGCTGAACTGCAGACTTATAAATCCCACAGCACCCACATGGCCACGCAAAAAAAAATCCCCCGCGGGAGGTGAAAGGAGAGAGGAGGCAGGAAGGGATGTCTCGGGCGCCACGGCCTTCCCAAGGCGCTCCAAAACGTTCTGAGAGCGTTCCTGGGGAAACCAAAAGGTACCGATACCGCTACTCCCCGGAGCTCTCCCGGGGTGCGTTCTGACCAATATTTCATGTCGAATCCAGCGGTGGCGACGAGGGCCTCCCAGAAGGCGCAAAAATGGGAAAGCGAGGGAAGCGTAGCGGTATGGGTACCTTTTCCTTCTCCGAATGGGGGTCGAGGCGCGCTTTCACCCCCCAGGTGCTTCCGCGCGACGCCTTCCGAAGCCCGCCCACGAAGCCGCCGAAACGCCGGCGAGCGGAGAGCAGCCAACCCCCCGCCTCTGGGCGCCGTGCCGCCGTGCCAGGGGCCGCCTAAGTGACCCGTTCTTGGGGGGACAAGGACACTTCTCTTCGTCGGTGCGTGAAGCTCCGCCTGCGGGTCCCGCAGGTTGGAGCGACCGAACATGCGCGCCTTGGCAGGAGCCCTCAACCGACACCACGTTCGCGATAAGCTCGGTCGGGCTTAAGGGAACGCGACCGGTTGTTTCTGTGGCCCGCTGGGTGTTAGTGTGGCCCGTTGGGTGTTAGTGTGGCCCGTCGCGCGGCCGGATATGAGTTACTGTGGCCCGCGCTGGCCATTCAATGACAAGTAAAATGCAAAGATATCTCATGTTAAATCTGAAAAGATTCTCAACCCTTAGGGGAAGCCCTTCCCGCATAGGCAAAAGTGGCCACAGTGACTCCGACTTGGAAACACTGTAGTAGTAGTAGTAGTAGTAGTAGTAGTAGTAGTAGTAGTAGTAGTAGTAGTAGTAGTAGTAGTAGTAGTAGTAGTAGTAGTAGTAGTAGTAGTAGTAGTAGTAGTAGTAGTAGTAGTAGTAGTAGTAGTAGTAGTAGTAGTAGTCAGGAGTAGGAGTAGGAGTAGGAGTAGTAGTAATAGTAATAATAGTAGTCGTAGTCCTAGTAGTAGCAGGAGTAGGAGTAGGAGTAGAAATAATAGTAGTAGTAGCCCTGGTAGTACTTGTTGAAGTAGTCGTAATAGTCGGTAGTGGTAGTTGTAGTAGTAGTAGTAGTAGTAGTAGTAGTAGTAGTAGTAGTAGTAGTAGTAGTAGTAATAGTAGTAGTAGTAGTAGTAGCAGTAGTAGCAGTAATAGTAGTAGTAGTAGTAGTAGTAGTAGTCGTCGTCGTCGTCGTCGTCGTCGTTGTAATAGTAGTAGTCGTAGTAGAAATAGTCGTACCAGTCGTAGAACTAGTAATAGCAAGAGTAGTAGTCGTAGTAGCAAAAGTAGTCGTACAAAAAATAGTCGTACTGATAGTAGTAATAGCCGTAATACTGGTACGAGTAAACACATAAGTGATATTAATCGTAGTAGTAGATATAATGGTAGTAGAATTCGTAGTCGTCGTCGTCGTAGTCGTAGTAGTAGTAGTCGTCGTAGTAGTACTAGTAGTGGAAATAATAGTAGAGGTACTACTACTACCAGTAGTATTAGTAAAATTAATGACGGAAATAGTGGGAGTAGTAGTAATAATAAAAAGTAATAATAGGTAGTAGTAGTAGTAGTAGCAGTACCAGTGAAAGGAGTACGACTACTACTACTACTACTACTACTACTACTACTACTACTACTACTACTACTACTAATGGTAGCAATAGTAGCAGCAACGGTAGTAGCAGTAATTGTAGTAATATTAGTAGCAGTAGCAGTAGCAGCAGCACGAGTATTACTACCACTAGTACTAGTCCTACCACTAGTACTAGTCCTAGTGGTAGTAGTAGTGGTAGCTGTAGTAGTTTAGTGGGAGTAGTAGTAGTAGTAGTTTTAGTCACACTAGCAATTGTAGTAGCCGAAGTAGTAGTAGTAGTCGTAGTAGTACTAGTAGTAGTAGTAGTAGTAGTAGCAGCAGCAGTAGCAGCTGCATAATCAGTAGTAGTAGTCGTCCTAGTAGTACTGGTAGTAGTAGTAGTCGAAGTAGTAGTAGTAGTAGTAGTAGTAGTAGTAGTAGTAGCAATAGTAGTAGTAGTAGTAGTAGTAGTAGTAGGAGTAGTTATAGTAATAGTAGCAGTAGCTTTAGTGATAGTAGTAGTAGGAATAGTAGTAGTAGTAGTAGTAGTAGTAGTGATACTCGTAGTGGTAGTCGTCGTAATAGTCGTAGTAGTCGTAGCCGTAGTAGTCGTAGTAGTAGTCGTCGTCGTCATCGTAGCAGGAGAACTTGTCAGAGTAGCAGTGGTCGCAGA